ATAAACAAAAGAATATATATTTTTTTCTGGAATAGAAAATAAGTATTTGACGATAGATTCTTAAACGACAGGACAGAAAGGGAAAAAAATGAACTTGTGTTTAAATTTTTCATTAGCAATCTGTAAAAAATGTATTTTCTGAATCTCTGTATTTTGCGGTATCTTCCCTTTGAGTTTGGTTTTAATCCTTTGTCTGTCTTCCTTTATTATTTTATTCCTTTCTTTCTTATTTTTATTTTTTATTTTATTTCTCTTATTTTTTTTCTTCTTCTTCTTCATCTCTTTTAGATCCTCCTCTATTTTATTTTCCTCCTCCTCCTCCTCCTCCTTCTCCTCTTCCTCCTCCTCCTTCTCCTCTTCCTCCTCCTCCTTCTCCTTCCTCTTCTCCTCCTTCTCCTTCTCCTCCTTCTAAAAAAAGAGAAGAGAGGAGAGAGGAAGTGAGAGAGGGAGGGAGGGAGGAGGAGGAAAATTAGATGGAGGGGGGTTGAGAGAGGGAAAGGGAAAGGGAGAGGCAGGGAGGGGAGAGAGAGACGAAAGAAGGGAAGGAAGGAAGGAGAGAGAGAGAGGGAAAGGGAGAGGGAGAGGGAGAGGGAGAGGGAAAGGGAGAGGCAGGGAGGGAAGAGAGAGACGAAAGGAGGGAAGGAAGGAAGGAAGGAGAGAGAGAGAGAGAGAGAGAGAGAGAGAGAGAGAGAGAGAGAGAGAGAGAGAGAGAGAGAGAGAGAGAGAGAGAGAGAGAGAGAGAGAGAGAGGAGAAGAGAGAGACAGAGAGAGAGAGAGAGAGAGAGAGAGAGAGAGAGAGAGAGAGAGAGAGAGAGAGAGAGAGAGAGAGAGAGAGAGAGAGAGAGAAAGAGAGAGAGACAGAGAGAGAGAGAGAGAGAGAGAGAGAGAGAGAGAGAGAGAGAGAGAGAGAGAAAGAGAGAGAGACAGAGAGAGAGAGAGAGAGAGAGAGAGAGAGAGAGAGAGAGAGACAGAGAGAGAGACAGAGAGAGAGAGAGAGAGAGATGAGAGAGAGGAGAGAGAGAGAGAGAGAGAGAGAGAGAGAGAGAGAGAGAGAGAGAGAGAGAGAGAAAGAGAGAGAGAGAGAATCAGGCAGACAGACATACAATCACAGAAAGAGGCAGTGACGAAGCAGGGAAAAAAGAGAGGGATGAAATGAAGAGAGAGCAAGAGTGAAAGAGAGAGCGATTGTTTATTCCCCAAAGGGACTTTTATCTTTAATAACGCGCCATGAAACAGCAAAACAACGGAAATTAAATCAATCCATAAAAAGTCAATATCAATTTGGACTCACTCCTTTAATAGTATAATCCCCTGCGTAGAGGCCAAACGTGGAATCCATACGCATAGAGAGGCATTCATAAACTACTATAAACTACTGATAAACCGCTATCGCTGTCCGTTTACGCGTCAGGATAGTTGAAGGCCTAAAGTTGCGCTCTTATGCAGGGACTGTTATGTGTATTTACAGGAAAAGTTCATTTATTGGGCCATTGGAATAAGTTTAAATAGAAGAGCGTAAGCTGTGATGTCCTTCCCGCACGCGCGCGGGATTGCGGAGTCGTGGAACATGCGCGTCATAGAGAGGAAAGCGACAATGAGTATTCGGAAAAAAATAGAATCTAAAACGCCTCTACTTTATACGCGGGGACATACGAGTGTGTGTGTGTGTGTGTGTGTGTGTGTGTGTGTGTGTGTGTGTGTGTGTGTGTGTGTGTGTGTGTGTGTGTGTGTGTGTGTGTGTGTCAGCTCGTGTGTGTGTGTGTATGTGTGTGTGGTGTGTATTCATGTGTGTGTATGCGTGTGTGTGTGTACTATGTTGCGCCCCCCATGTATCTCGTTCATCAGCGGCGTACGTGAGTGTAGGCGTCGCCGCGGGGCACGTGCCGGAGAGAGAGAGGCCTTTTAAAGTGGCTTTGCCCTTGGAAACAGGTGGGGAGGGCGCCGCCGCCACGCGAGGAGGGACTGACAAGGCCGAAAGGGACTAATTGCCTCTGTTAATTAGCTGTTTTAACGACCATCTCCTTGCCGGTCGGAGCGCCAGTGTCGGAAGAGCCTCGGTCGGGAGTTGATGGAGGGTAATTAGAGCGTCTATAGATTTTAATTAAAGATGATGATGTACTGGTTCGCCGCGGTGACTGAGGCCAATCCGCCCCTTGTTATTCCTCGTGGCCTCTTGGGGGGGGCGGGGGGGAGAGGAGGAAGGAGGAAGGAGGAGGAGGAAGGAGGGAGGGGGAAGGAGGGAGGGGGAAGGAGGGAGGGGGGAAGGAGGGAGGAGGAAGGAGGGAGGGGGAGGGGAGGAGGAAGGAGGGAAGGAGGAAGGAGGGAGGAGGAGGGGAGGGGGAAGGAGGAAGGAGGAAGGAGGGAGGGGGGGGAGGAAGGAGGGAGGAGGAGGGGAGGGGGAAGGAGGAAGGAGGAAGGAGGGAGGGGGGAGGAGGGAGGAGGAAGGGGGGAAGGAGGAAGGAGGGAGGGGGAAGGAGGGAGGAGGAAGGAGGGAGGGGGAAGGAGGAAGGAGGGACGGGGAGGGGAGGAGGAAGGAGGGAAGGAGGAAGGAGGGAGGAGGAGGGGAGGGGGAAGGAGGGAGGGGGGAAGGAGGGAGGGGGAAGGGAGGAGGGAGGAGGAAGGAGGGAAGGGGGGAAGGAGGAAGGAGGGAGGGGGAAGGGGGCTGAGGTGAGGGGAGAGGGGGGGGAGGAGGAAGGAAGAGGGGAGGGGAGAAAGGGTGGAAAAGGAGGAAGGAAGGTGAGAGGGGAACAGAGGAGAAAGGCAGCGAAAAGAGGAGGAGAAATGGGGGAGGGGAGAACAGAGGTGAGAGGCGAGGGGATAGAAAGGGGAAGAGGAGGGGGGAGGATAAACGAGAAGAGAAAAGGGAGAAGGAAGGAGTCGGTGGGAAAGAAAATAAAGGGATAGGAGGGGAAGAGAAGAAAGGGAAGGGGGGGTGGGAAAGAGAAGTAAGGCGATGGGGGGAATAAGAGAAAGAGAAGAAGGAAAAGAGAAAATACGGGGGAAGGGGGACAGAGGATAAAGGGGAGACGGGAAAAGAGGAAAGAAATGAAAGGGTGAAAGAGGAGAAAGGGGGAGGCAGAAAAGAAGAGAGGGGGAAGGGGACAGAGAATAAAAGGAGAATGGAGGAAAGAGAAGAGAAACAAAAGGGGAGGAAAAGGAAGGGAGAAGAAAAGAGAATAGAGAAAGGTGGGCAGAGAATAAAAGGGAAGGGGAGAAAGAGAAGAGAAATAAAAGGGGGAAAGGAGAAGGGAGAGAAGAACAGAAGAGAAGGAAGAAGGAAGACAGAGAATAAAAGGGAAATTCTGAAAAGAGAAGAGAATGAAAGGGGAGAAAGGGGAAGAGAGAGAAGAACAGAAAAAGGGAGAAGGAAGACAGAGAATAAAGGGGAAGGGGGGGAAAGGGAAGGAAGGGGGGAGGGAGGAAAGGGGAGGAAGGGGGGGAGGGGGGAAAGGGGAGGAAGGGGGGAGGGGGGAAAGGGGAGGAAGGGGGGAGGGGGGAAAGGGGAGGAAGGGGGGAGGGGAGGAAGGGGGGGAGGGGGGAAAGGGGAGGAAGGGGGGGAAGGGGGAGAGGGGAGGAAGGGGGGGAGGGGGGGTGCCTGATCGTAATTTAGCGTTGTGTCGCCGTAAACATTTCGTGAGATTGAGTTATCGTCCCCCGCGGTTTCCCGGCGGTTTGCGCGGAAAATCACTGCTCATTTGCACAGCACGCCGCTCGGGGAGACAGACAGACTGACAGGCAGACAGACGGAGAGGAAGGCAGGCACGATGAGAGACACAGACAGACAGAATGACAGGCACAGACGGACGGGCAGAATGAGAGACAGACGGAAGGAATAAAAGACAGGAGAGGGAGAGAAAGAATTCAGACAAAACAGACACACAGGCAGAGACAACGAGAGTTATATATATATATATATATATATATATATATATATATATATATATATATAGAGAGAGAGAGAGAGAGAGAGAGAGAGAGAGAGAGAGAGAGAGAGAGAGAGAGAGAGAGAGAGAGAGTTTAACGAAGGAGACAGAGAAAAAAAACACACACGACTACACCCGCTAGCCTATAATTTCTTTATTCCTTCTTTCCTTTCTTCCTTCCTTTCTCCCTCCCTCCCCCACTCCCCCCCTCACTCCTCCCTCCCCCACTCCCCTCTTTCCTTTTCCCATTCTTTTCTTTTCTCTCCTTCTCCCATCTACACCCCCCCCCCTCGCGTCGACGTACCCGCGCTTGCACCACAGACACGGCAGCGAATCCCACTCTGCATAATGACCATCCCTCTTCTTCTTTATCGCTCTTGCTCTTCTTCTTCTTCTTCT